ACGATTGAATTAAAAACTCAACATCATGCTGTGCTTGCTTGTATGGGTGGCTGTGTCTTGCTGCTAGGCAGATGCGGCTGTATGCGGCAGAGAGCTTGTGTTGTGTGGAAGCTGCAGAGCCAAAAGATTGAAACTGCCAAGCATTGTTTGGTTGAATGTAAGACAATGTATGTTTTTGTAAGTCAATAGTGCAGCCCAAAAAGGAATTGTCTGGTTCATCCTCAAGGATGACCGGTTCTTGGTAAAAGGTGTCTTGTAAGAATGGTTGGATGATTGCGTGGTGCTGTTGGGATTGGTCAATGAGTACAAGCCTGTTGTCAACGTATCGTGTGATCAGTATTCTGTTTGAGTGTGTGTGAAGATATTGTTGTACCTGTGGTCGGTTTAGCCAATCTTGCTCGGTCAGACTGACCGTGATGTTTGCCAGGACTGGGCTGATTTGGTTGCCAATTGCGCTGCCGCGAATTTGCTGAAATGTTTGCTGGAGCTGTGAAAAAATTGATGCCTGGAGAGACAAACTGCATATGTTGTAAATGTCTCCAAACCTGATCTGTCGTTTTGTCATTGCAGCTCGCCGAGGCCGTCCTCGAAAAAGTCGTAGTGTGGTGTCTGGCTGTTGCATGTCCACTGTGAAAACAGTGTCGTTATTTACATGCGGGTGTTGTTGTTGATATTGCTTCAACAGCTTGGCAAGTGCGTGAAGGATGCGGTCTGCTGGTATGGATGTAAAAAACCCTGCCAAATCGTGGTTGTAAATGGCAAGGTCCAGGTCTGCTGGTGCATTGTGAAAGAAAGTGTGGAGTGTATAGAAAATTTGCTGGAGTGATTGTAGTCCAAACGTCTTGGACATGCAGGCTTGAAGCATCTGCTGTAGAACGATGGCTGTGGCTTTGAGAAGCTTCTCAAAAACAAAACCACGATAGTTGATGATGGGCCTGGCGGCAAGGAATTGTTTTTTCTGCTTCAATAGTATGTAGGCTGTTGGGCAGTCGCTGTTGGTGTTGTATGCCCATTTGTATTTTTGAAGCCAGGGTTGATGTGTAAGCTGTTGTAGGTATTGTGTTGCTTGTGGTGGTGTCAAAGTGAGGTGGGTGTACACCGATGAATCTCCAAATGTTTTCTTGAGGACTGTCCAGTAGAGAAAAGGACAATACACAAAAATGGCTGTAGCAGCATGGTCGCGACAGTGAACCACAAACTGTTGCATTATCTTTCTGAGGTATTGAATGTCGCTGTGCCCAATCCATTGTTTGGATTGCTGCAAGTGCTGTGGCCACTGTTGTTCAATGTAACTCTGCCAGTCTGCATACGTGATTGTGTTAATGTTGTAATGTTGCAGCCAGCGTTGTAGTTTGGGCCAAGTTTGTTGACAGTAGTGGTGTTTTGTAGGGTACACTTGTGTGCCAGCATGCGTGGCTAAGAAATTTGCGAGTCGTGCTGGGACATTCAGGTTTGCAGCAGGACTGGCAATATGTGGTTGATCACATATTGTAGTGCTGGTAAGCCGTGGGTGTTTTGCAAAAAGTTGTTGGCAAGAACATGGTGGAGGTTCGTTCCAGGTGAATTTCTTCATCCAGGAAAAGTGGCTGAAAAGGGCTTGTTGCATGGTGGTATGCTTTCCTGCCGTAATGTTGCATTTTGGAATGTGAAAAGGTGGTAGCCATTGTTTGTGTTGAATGGCTATCTGCCGAAGCCAGTGGCGTGTTTGGGGACTGAATGTTTTGTGGCTCAGTAGAGGCAGTATCAGTGGTCTAGGACTTGGCGGGAGTGGTAGTTGTCGAAATTGAATAGCTGATTTGATCAAACTGCGAACTCTTGTTCTTGGTGGATCTTCCATGTTGTTCGAAAGTTTGTAGAGTGCAAATAGGTGATCTGAGTGTGTGTTGTTGGAACGGATAAACTTTTGCATGTCAAACGACCGTTGGCTTTGTTCCGCGAGTACGTGTAGTTGAAGCCAGGCAGTGGTGTGTTTGGACAGGTTGTGGTTGTAAAAGTGGAATACTTGCTTGTACATCATGCGGCGGCGGAGTCGCGCATACAGTCGCTGGCCATGTCCTAGGAATGTGTTGGCGATTGCTTGTCGCAAGTGTGGTGTTGAATGTTGTTTAGTGACCTGGCGCTGCATTATGAGTGGATAGTTGAGTGGTGGGCACCAAAGCTGGATCATGTAACTTTCCAGTGTTCGTGTTTGCAGTTGTGACGAGGTTGTTAATAACGGGAGTGGTACAAACTGATAGTAGTTGCCTTGGCTACAGAACCAATGCAATGCAAGCTCACACGATACTGGTTGACCGTTTTGTAATTGTTTCAGCTTGCGGTGTCGGGTGTTCTGTCGATCATGTAATGTGTGTATGGTGCTGCCGATGTAATGTTCTGTAGACGACAAGTGTATGTTGAGTTTTGTTGTGCCGTAAACATGCAGCAAAATATATACAACATTGGATTGGTGAAACAACTGGCGCATATCCTCAAAAGTGCGGACATCTTTCAAATGTGTCCGACTGAATCTTCGGTTCCATTTTCGACACGAATTTTGATTAGGATGATTTGTAATCCAATACAAAACACAGAAAGAAACAGCAACACGGAGAACCAACCGAACAGATACAGAACAACAGTTTTGATCAAGCGGAAAATGTTCGAGACAACCGAAGAAGACGATACATGCGGCAGCAAACTGTACATGTTTCGGGTCATCTCGATCTAGTCACTCAAGCTGTGTCACCCCAAAAAGCAGCAACTTGTAGAGCTCATCCGCGCGGGCTTTCGATGCCACTGATACTGGCAGGCCGAGTGAGGCGGCCTTGTCTGCAAAGGTGCTTTGCTCGGGCTTTGGGATCTTCTTGAGAAGTCCGGTGAGTGTTGCAAGAGCTTCTTGCAATGCTGCTTGGTGTTGTTTGGGAATGCTCTGCTTTTTGATCCAGGCATCAACGGTTTTGGCCGTGCTGTTGTTGGGCGATGCTGAGGCAAATGGCCTGACAGTATTGGTGCCAGGGAGTTGCGTGATTTTGGCTTGAAGGTCTCCAAGAGTAGTGCTGGTTGGTACATCATGTGCGCCCGCTGCCGGTACGGCAGTGGGTGAGGTTGTGTGTTTGCGTGTTCTTTGTGTGTCTTTGGTGTCATGGTTGCCCGGCCGTTTGGTGATCCCCATGTCCGTCAAAGTGCGCGATCTTTTGGCCGTTTGTGTGTTGGATGTGTCGGGCTTTCGTTTGCGTGCGGGTGTTGGTGACGGTGGTGCTTCATCAGGTGTGGTTGGCGGGTGAGGTTGTGGGGATGCGGCTTGCTCTTCGTCAGTGGGTACCTGGGAAATGGTCTGGGTTGCTGCTAGCTGTGCTTCCAGCTGTCGAATTTTGTCTTGGGCTTCTTGTAAGCTTGTATTGGAGAATTGCCGGAAATGATCCACTGTGGAATTCACAAGGTGGTGAATTTTGGCTTTTTTGAGTTGATTGGGATCTGGATCGGTGATCGCAATACCTTGCTGCTGGCAATATGCTGCTGCAATGTCATCTACATCCATATGCTCATCTCGAAGTTTCATGGACAAATGGTGGAAGAAAATGGACTCTTTGATGCTGCGGGCAAACACAAGTGATGTGAATTTGCCATTGGCTAAGGCTCGAAGGCTCCAGTTGGACCAACCAAGGTAAGCCAATTCATACAGTCGTACGGAGTCAATGGGTCTTCCTGCTAGATGATACTTCTGACTCCAGGCTGTTGAGGTGACTTGGCGAGGAAAGGAAAGGCCATACTGTTGCTTGGTGTCAAAGTGGTTGGCATCAGGTTGGAAATTGGCTGGTATGTCT